GCTTGTTCTAAACAATATAACAGGTTGGTCCAGCCCAGTTTTCTAAATCCATGCTGATTTTGTCCTAACATTTTATTTCTGTATAGGTAATTCTTTAGTTCTAATTGTTTATTTTACCTGAGTAGTTATTTTTAGTTTATTAGCCATTACCTCCTCATTGACTAGACATCTGTCCATTATCATCTTGGATTCATTTAACTTCATCCTTCACAGTTTTTGTTCCATTTTAATATGTGCCCTTAACTAGACCTACTCCGCTTGATGTAGTGGGGCAGCTAAGCTGCTTACAAGCTTCAAAACACATCTTTCTCCAAGAATCTTTCATAAACTCACATGTAGGTTCCACAGTCCAACAACCAGTCCTTCTCTGAGGGAAACATCTAATCAAACCAGCCTTCAAAGCCTCTGTTTCCTAGTTTTTAAATCATCGCCTGACCAATTGTCTTCTTCCAACCGGTCAGGTGACTATGAGCAGCCACTCTTTCCCCATAGCATTCTGGGGATTGTGGTTCACACAAGGATCTCCATCTTGGTGGGATGAGGTGGTGTATTTTGTAACCTATATAATACTTTTGCAGCTGATATACAGCATTTTTCTGCAATGAATAATTTTAATTTATAAATCCCTTCCATTTAGATGTTCTTGTACTCTTGTACAATGACTCGTGAACTCTTGTATAATGACAACAGACCAAACTTTAACTTCTATTCTATGTTCGGTGTACTGGAACTCTGTTGTTAGAAAAACATTTTGGTAACCATTAACCTTTTACAACAACATTTCTTCAAGTTAAGAAAGTCTCATTTCAGCTGAGACAGAGGAAACTATTTTCGCTAGTTTCCAAATGATGTGGTGCTCATCCATACATCCAGTTTCTAACTGTTTTATGAGTACAGGGTCATGAGAGAACCTGGAGCTCGTCAAAGCATGCAACTAGTGCAAGTCGCCCTGAATCGGACTCCAACTCATAGCAGGGCACACACCCTCACACCAGGGACCGCCTGTCCCAGAAGTATGTGTTTTTGGACTGTGGGAGGAAACCAGAACACCAAGAGGAAACCCACACAAGGACAGGGAGAACATACAAACTCAACGCAGATAGAACCCCAGGTATTGAACCCAGAGCACCGGCACTGCAAGGAAGCAATGCTAACCACTGTCTTACTATGTTTCCCATCGGAGATCAAGCATGTATAATACTTGTTTTGACAAAGGCCTATTGAATGTTATGTTAACCTAACCTTACTTAATATATCATGACATAAATTGCAGATAAATGCAGATATACCGTATTAGAGATAATTATCCGTTAATATAGAGTGCACGTGACAGTTCACAGCAAACATGAACCCTTCACTGCCCATGAACCCTTCTTAAGTCACCTGTGACCAAATTCTGCTTACAAATCATTCTTTCAGTGCCAGACTTGCTCTCATCCCAGTCACCACTGGACTCAGACTGATATGGTTGTGTCACGCTTTTGATTTTTACTTTGCTATGGCAGTGTCACATTACAAATTCAGCAGAGATGAACAGTTGTCTCACTCAGTGCCCTATGACATCAGATTCTTGTATCAGTGTGCCACCTAGTGTTTGTCCCAACCGCAAAGCCACCATTTTGGTAAATATTTGCCCATTTAGCTTTCTTTCCACAATCAGTCTCACTTGATTTTGGATCATAAACCCTTGAAGTTATAAATAAGTACTGTAAAAGATATTGAATAAGTCAACTGAAAGACCCCTTCAAAAATAAATAAATTAAAGTAATAAAATCACTTAATGTACTATCAGGTCAGATTTACTGTTAAAGGCTCTTCTAGTTTTTATAGAATAAAAGTTTGAAGAATTCCCACTGTGTAACAGGCAGCCTGAACATCAGCCAAAAGGGTTTCCCAAATCTCTTGGGTAGCTGAGTATAAAGTCAAGTGGAGAGTTATGTTCATAGCATATCTCTGGGAAGATCACCATGGGACAGTGGCATCATGCCTGGGGGAAAGCAGAAAAGTTACATTTCTGAGATGGTGCTCTTCTCAGAAATCTGCATGCTGTATAGCAAATCAGCTGGGTCACCATCCCTAAACTGTATCAAAAGAGGCTGGGTTGGTTACAGAGTCTTGGTACTTTCTGGCCACTTGAGTCATCCTTCAAGGAAAGATGAGGATGCAAATAACCTGAAGAGAGATAAATCAGCTAGTGTGTGGGGAAGTATGTCACCCACACACTTGGACTTGGGATACCTTCTAAATTAATGCAGATCTGCTTTTGTTACACATTAAATGGGCCATCTGTACCAGTATACCTCTGCCTGATTCAAAGTTGCGCAGTTCATCCTTAGCTAGTTTCTAAATCACCATTTAGTGCAGCCAACATCAACACTTTCAATACAAATACTGCACTAGTATGTTAAAAACCAAAACAATTTTAGAAATATGATTTGGAATGTAAATGTCATAGTTTAAGGTGCAGTTTGATGTTAAAAGGTGTAACTGCTACTGCCAGAGAAAGCATCCCAGAGAACACAGATGAGTTTAGGAGAACCTCCTTGCACATAATGGACATGACCAGTAGATGGCAATGGAGGCCTGACAGTGAAATGCTTTTAAATCTGTACAACCGTGTATTGGGGCTGGCTGCAAGAACTCTGGGCAAGACCCTTACTGTGTTATGAGTTGAGTTATAATAAACAGATTTCTTTGATTTGAAGGAGGAAAAAGACCATTTCAAAAAATGTGTCAAGGAATTGAAAATCAAAGATCTTCCCAAGCCAAAATATTCTGTACTTTACCTCTCCTCACCATGACACTGATCTGTCTACATCCTTTTACAGAGCTTCCAGATTTCCAGAACTGTTCTATTTATATATCAGCAACCTATTTCTCTTCTGCTCCTACCAGAAGAAGATTCAATAGTCAATTTTTACTTTCATATCACATGCTCTGTGCATTTCTATTACTTTTGCTGCTTGTTAAAAAAACTCTTAATTTTTTTAAGCAAAACCTCTCTTTTAAAAAGCAGGTTGACAATCCCCTTATAATCCTTATATTGCCATGCATAAGATCCTGTAGTTCTGTTTTATACATTGTAATGCCTGTAAAAATATTGGTATGACAGAGTGCACAGATATATAAAAGGAGTATAAAATAATCAAAATTGTAAAAGATGGTTTTCTGTTGGGGTCTGTGAACTGAAATGAAGTCTTAGCAACAAGGTTTTTCATCTGCTTAGGCAAATAATGATGTACATTGTAATCAATGCATGTTGGTGTCAAACAAAAGGAGAAGCCGGGCAAAACAATATTAAATGAAAGGTTTACCGTGAATAAACCAGTGCTAATACTGAGCTATTTTAGGAACATCATCCATTACATACAGTATCTGGAAGTCATGTATTGTAATTATCATACGGCACCCAAGAAATTTGTGTGCTCTCATTTCAGACTAAAGGTTTCCTTATCACCCCTGAAGTATTTGAAATCTATTAGGGAACAACATGGAAGATGCCTTTGTCAAGTACAAGGAATAGCAAAAGTGAAGAGGGAGCACTGGGGATGAAGGATGAAGCGACCAGGAGACAGCTCATGAACCCACGAGCAATTGTGTACATGTGACTTTGGTTATTGTAATAAGGAAAATCCAGCATGCCAGTTGTCTTTTTACTGTAACTGGAGCACAGAGCATAGCAGCCAAATAAAGGAAGGAATCTGTCCATGTGTATCAATCAAAATGACAAGCGTCAAAAATGAGGGCATTTACATAAAAAAAGTTTGTCTTGTCTTACCTTGTTAATGTTTTAACTTCAAGGCCTAGATTGCCAAGGAGTTAAAATAATTGATAAAAATTTAAATAATGGAAATACGGTTTGTTGCTATTTATTTTTATATCTTCAGGAATTTTGTCCCCCAGATCTTGAATCAAAAGCACGTATCCTTAGACTTTATTTTTCCATAATGCTCATTATTTTAGTGCTGTTTAATTTACAATACTATTGACACCTGGTGCTTGAGTACTGCACTATACCTGGTTCATAAGTAACTTATGAACTAGGAGTCAAGGCTGGAAACAGTGCTAATATAAACCAATTAAGTGATTCAATTCAAGTCCTGAAGTGTCCAGTCTGGAATGAAATCAACAGACCAGGACTGGGACTGAATAATTACATTAGATTACAAAACCTAGACATTTCATATGCTGTTTTTCATATGGTTGCTTGATAGATACAGTATGATTCTGTGGAAATACATATAATTTGCGAGCCACTGAACGTAAGTAGCAAGTTATACTAAGTGCACTTCAATTATAAATATATACAAGGTTACACACCATCGACGGAGGCATATTTGCCACTGATATAATGATTTTCAGGAGCCTGGAACATGCTTATTAGAATATACTGTAGGTCTACCTGCTTTCTTAAAAGTCATGCTCACTACAGATTGGTGGAGGGGCTACCCCTGAGATAGCGATAGAAACAAGGGGCCAAATCCTTTAAGCCCTTTTGCGATGTAATTTTTGAAATACTCATCTTAAAAACAATTAGAAAAAATGGATCTTTATAATTAAAAATATATTTTTAAATAAAAGTAAGAAGTTTAGAGAATTTTAAATTGAAATGTCAGCACCCTTTGAAAATGTTAGTTCTGCCATTCTGGTCTTGTCTTCAACAATAAACGTATTAATACGCACAACACCTACATCCAAGTCCTTATCACTTGATGATTGAATACAGAGCTACAAGATCAGATCTCCAGGACCAGGGTCTAATAATTTGGCTTGCAGGTCTTGTAAATCACTCCAGGAACAAAATGCTGGTGCCCATAAGAACACGAAACTGAACACCTCTTCCACTTAGGACGCCCAGCACTCCATGTGATAGAGAGGGGACAACAGAAACAGAACTGGGCAAATTAATGCCATCAGATTTGATCAAAAACATCACAACAGCAGTGAATGAAAAAATAACTTTACTAATACAAAGCTTAAAATCTTGCATTTAATAAGGCATTTCACTCTATAAAATAAAAAGAACACTATTTTTAATAATCAAGTTTATTAAAATACATAAAAGACACAGTGATATGTAATATATAACTACATAAAGTTATATATGTATATTTCTGTAGATTTTTATATATAAAAAGATATTTTGCATTTAAATGGCAGTGGTGATTAACAAGTTTCAAATGTCCAAGTCAGCAGTCTACAGTATGCTAGGCTTCCACCTGCAACACCTGACACCTGAGATCCATTTGTCGAGCAAACAAATTGGGGTGAATCAGAAAAACAGCTTTCAACATTTACTCTCATCCTTCTGGGACAAGAAACAAGATCACAACTTCCGTCTCGGCAAGAACTATACAAGTAGCACCAATTTTGTTTTCTACAAGGTGTGAAAGATTCCAGCAGGAGGATCTGGAAACCCTTTTCATAGGTTTGACGAGCGAATGCTTTCAATAACGTTTTTGAATAACGAGCGAACGCTTTCTATAAACGCGCTTAAATGGGTTCTTTTCATATCCAGCTGCTGTCCCACACTTTCCAAGGCTTTCACCACAGGGTGGCTGACTGGTAAATGAAACCATGAGAAGAAGTGTGCGGAAGAGGTCTCTAGTCTGGACACTGGTTTTCCCTGCCCGTTCCCACAAGGTGGCAGTGCTGTATTCCTGGCGTGTCCCAGCAGGAGGTGGCGGTCATGTCTGGTGGTAGTGGTGGTAGTGGTGGTGGTGATGGTGTTCATGGTGGTGGTGATGCTCGTGTCTCTGCACCACGGGCATGATGTAACCCCCATTGTGGTGGGCCGCCGAATAATCGCGCTTCGGCTCCTGCTCCGCCACGGCCGGCTGGCAGTGGCTGCCCTTTGAGGGGGAGAGAACTTCCCTTCCTTTTGGTCGCAGCTTTTTGTGGCTGTGCTGCTGGGGCAGCTGTACCGAGGGCGGGGGCTGCTGCTGAGGCTGGAGGTGGTATACATCCTGCCCCCCGATTCCAGCCTGTGAGGTGGCGTGGGGAGCGTAGTAGGTGTGGCATTTGCTCGACTTGCCCCCACCAGTTCCTCCCAAAACTCCCGGCCCCCTGGAGGTGCCTTTGGGAGACTTCAGGAACTGCTTTTCCAGGCCTTTCCCCCTCAGCTGCCCCTCCAGGCCCCTGTTCAAGGGGTCTCCCAGCAGAGGGAAGTAATCGCCCAGGACTTGGGACCGGCGGTGCTGGATGTTGTGAGCCTCGGCCTCCTGAGACCGCGAACGGCTTTGTGAATGAGAACTCTTCCCATGTTGCTCCTGTCTGAGTTGCAGTGGTGGGGACCCTAAAAGAGAATTGTTATTGTGGTAACCAAGTTCATATTGAATTGTCTCCACTCTATTCCATTTCCTTCAGCTCCAATAATACTGAAACCTTCCCTGTGAACTGGATAGCACTTGTTGGTCTAGATGTGTGATTAAGTGCCATCTAAAATAGATATAACAACAGATGATCACGTGGGTAGCTGCATCAGAATACGTAGGCTGCAAAGGAACAAGTAATAGGTTTATTCCATGCTGAAAAGGGAAGAAAGAAAACATAGTACTTGTTCCTTTGCAACAAATGATCACGTTTAGAAGGAAGGAACTCCGGGACACTGGAATGTTTGTTGTTCAAGGCTAAATGTAAAAAAATGTTCCTTTTGTCAACTACCTGAGGTCTGCAGACCGTTTACTCATGTGGGACATAAATGTGACTTGGTGCAGTGTTTTTAAAAGAAACAAAACAGTTTTCATTATTTAGATGAGTATTTTGGATTGTGACAAGTAACAGGATTTCCCATAAGTGCCCTGACAGAGCAGGACAAAAGTGGAGATTTAGGTCTGTGTTTTTAATTATTCTCATAGTTAAAATAATACCTCCACTCAGCCAAAGAATACATTTTTTTCTACCTCCACCCTCTAATAGGCATACAGCAGTGCAGAACCAATACAAATTTTATGACCCAATAGTTAAAAATATTTTGTTTCTGGATACACAATCCTTTTAACAGTTCATATACTGTATATCCCAAGGACTGCATTGCAGAGCTGTACCTGCTTCAAATCTGGATGTATAGTTTTCTATCCCAGCCAGGTCCAGGTAATGATTTCTTCTTTCCGTGTTCTCATCCACACAGTAGTGGTTGCCTTCATTGTGGGGTGGCTGATCGTTGTTCGGTTTTCTGTGGGAAAACCGGAAAGGACACCCCCTTGTTTAACTCGAGAAATTTAAAAATGCCATTCCTTTACAGTTGTCTTTTCCGCCCTTGGTAATGCACAGTCATTTCCTTTCCCTCCCCCCCCCCATTTTGTAAACTGGCCACTGATGTTAAAATTATCTACACCTGTGGCTGGAAGGTTGCTGGTTCGTATCCCGCGGCCGGCAGGGGAATCCTACTCCGTTGAGCCCCTGAGCAAGGCCCTTAACCCCAACTGCTCCAGGGGCACGGTAGCTTCTCTCCCTGTCTGTGTGCCTGTGTGTCTCATGGGGAGCAAGTTGGGGAAAAAGACAAATTCCTAATACAAGAAATTGTATATGGCCAATAAAGCGATCTTATCTACAGATTTTCTATTTTCCCACACGGCAAACCCAGCACATCTCACTACCTGATGTGAGTGGAAAGTCGTCTGTCCCCACAGCGCTCATCTTCCAGGTGTGCAGGTTCACCTCTGTAGCGGGCAGCTTCTCGATCTAGAGACCAAGCACAGGAGTAAGAGGAAGATTAGCCAAAAGCTGGTACCTTACAAAATGACACCCCAACACCCTCAAAGATTAAAATTCTGCATGCTACACATGGCCTATAGCAGTAACTCACCTCTACACCCAATGAAAATACATACACTTGGTAAAAAAATACGAAGGTCTTAGTATAAAAATCACAGAAAGTTTGATAGTTTCTTGGGAATAGAAATCCTTAATAGTTACAAAATATAATGAAAACTGCAGGACTGGTGCAATAAATTGCAGCTTCCTGTAGTTTTGTGCCAACAATAACCGTGCCAGAGCACACACAGTTTGCAGGACCCAACAGCTCACAGTAATCAGCAGACGGACAGCCTCTTTAATGGCCTAGTACAAAGCAATGATCAGCCAAATGCAAATCAACCAGGAAATCACACCCCTGGCAGGGCAACATACCGAGCCCAGGTCCAGAAGCGTCCTTCTTCTTGCCAGAGGGCTCGGGAGTGACAGTCAGCTTCACTCGCAGCGTCTTGCTGCTGTTGGAGGAGTGATTCACTGAGGCATCGACCACTTCATAAATGGTGTGCATTAAACTGGACATGTCCTGCAATGCAAATGCAAATGGTGCAACATTGGTCTTTCGTGTGTGAGATTCAGGATGTTATTGGCTTTCAATGAAGACTGCTTACATATATATAGTATAAACTGGCACCTCTTCTTAAGGCCCCAAATTATTATTTGCTGAAAAAATATTCAGTGTCTGTATAGAGTCTGTATCTGTAGGAGTTCAAAACGTTTGAGATGCAGTACATAATGCATTTTTTTTCTCTCTTTAATTTAATTCCAGGTTTTAGCTGAGGCTATTTTGGAAACAAACCCTTTACAATAAACTGGGTCTGTGGTATACATCCAGGATAAAAAATAATGAGCATTTTTTTTTCAGTTTCTCTAAATTCTCAGGCCTGGTGGTTCACCCAGCTGGATCTTATCCCAGTTTCTGTAGTGTTAAGTGGGCTGGGAATGTAGGACTCCTTCCCAGGATGGGGGCACTCGAACTTGTTCATTTAAGAGTTTACAACCCCCCTGCCAAGAACACTGGTACTCATTTATTCAGTAAGGTATTCTGGATCAACTGGGCTGATGTACTTGCTCAAGGGTACAACAGTAGTGCCTAGAGACAAACTCTGTACCTCACCATACTCTTCCAAGTTTCACTCCAGTGTCTCACTCAAAAACAAAAACCACAAGAATTTTGTAAGATTTAGGTTTTTCAATTTGTTTTGGATTAAAAATGGCATTGAAATGTTTTTTTTTTTTCCCCAATACTTGTCACAAAGCACTGTAACAAGAAAACAGCATGACTAATAGGTAACATACCTATCAGGATAGGTACCTAGTTGGAATTTTAACCAGGTTTGGTTAAACATGGCTTCCTACACAGACAAAGGGAAACTTTGAATGTCTTATGTGAAGTCTTAGGGCAGCACCTCACCTCTTTGGTGACTTTCCCACTGTTATCAAAATCATACAACGTGAAGACCCACTCCTGCCTGTTGTCATCTTCCACAGACACGTCACACTCCAGCTCCTAGGAACACAAAAATAAACTCTAATTTCCACTGGGAAGAGACCGCAAAGAAGAAATAATTCTTCCTCTCTACAAAAGGAACCTTTGTGCAGTCCTGATATGTTCGATTTTATTTGCCTGGGTTTATTTTGATTTAGCTTTTATAAAACTTTCCGCAAGATCCAGGACAAAGATTGAATTTCAGGCCAACATTTTAACTCTGATCACCTGCGCCTGGAAAAAGTCCTGCACTTTGTTTTTGCCTTTTTTCCTGCTCCAGGAAAGGATTTTAACCACAATTCTCGGTTACAGGTCTTTTGGCAGGCACTTCAGTTCGGCAATATCTTGTAACTGGATTGTAATTAGAAAAATAAACTGTGGGAGTGTAATCTAGACTACTGAAGAACAGAGCGAGCAACATTCTGAAGAAGGAATAAATATACAAAGCCTATATAAAAGAGGAAGGACATCTGTCTTGGTTTTAATTGCACCGCCAGGTTTTCTGTTTATATAACTCAAATTACCTTAATTGAAAACCCTTTAGTCATTTGTAAAAACTGGAGGGGAAAATAAATCCATCATTTCTTAATGATGTTCACAAGCAATTTGGGCTCTTCCTTCTGTAAGACAGACTAGCATTTGGAAATGTGACATCTCAACTTACATCTAGGTTGATCCTCTTTCTTCCACTCCCTTTACAGAGGTCCTTCGTGATCTCTTTCTCCCCATCCTCCTGATGAATATACTGGGTGTAACTCTCACACCCCTCAGCTTTCTCTGGCGGTAGCACCACTGCAGCACAAAACACAAGCTCATGCACCTTTATAATGTTAATGCTCCTTTTGCACCTGTGTGGATTTTGTGTTCAGCAGGTTCCAAATGTACCAAGGCAAATTCCTGTACCTGGCACGTACTAACGAATAAAAGCGATTCTGATTCTTTTCACTGACCAGCAAGTCATTGTAGGCCTTATTTAGGTCACTCAACTGTTAACTCTCATAAACAGTACAGTAATTAATGAAAGCAGTAATTATATTCAGTTTTTCAAACTAAATAAGACTTGGTGTTTTATTTAACCTGTAGAATAATTCTGTAATTAATGCTCTTTTTAATTATACAGCACTTCCACTTTTCTATCTTGGTTTTGAACACCATATTCCCACGGGATTCACTAATAACACTGAAATGCATACCAACAAGAGGAGGACATTCAGCCCATACATCAGATTTGCTAGTAGTTGTAACCCTGCATTCACCAAGAAAAAAAAAATCTCTACAGATTAATATGCAGTTGAGCTATTGATCATACCTGTATATTACATTTTTTAAAACATTAGGAATAAAGGAATGTTCTTTTGGTGTTGGGAGCATTCCAGATGAAAGAGCTGTGGAATCTTATGGGAATCCTGGCAGATTCCACTGTAAAACATTCTAATCAGAATGGTGTCACAGCTTGCTCTTTGTGTTTTATGTTAATTCCGCTCATATCTGCACCATATCTGGGATAAAAAGTGAAGTGAAAATAAGAAACTTCCTACACTATGGTATGTGGCAAACTTCTGAAGGCACTTAAGGTGTTTATCTAATGTTTGGAATGTTCACCCAGAGTCATTCTAATTCATCTGAATTTTCATTAAATATGTTTTGCCTATTTCAAATGTTTTTATCAAAGAGGCATGATGCCCATAGTGTGGATGTGTAAAGGGAGAGAAATTTACTCCTATATCAGGTATTTCATTTAGATAGAAAAATCCTCAGCCAGCTGGTGAGGAATTCTTCTTTAAAACTGGCACAAGGCACAAGGCAAAACTGCTTTGAAACTGTACATACGCTGAATATGTACAGTACTCATTTATTACCATTTAAACAGAAATACTACCAAAAACCCATGAAGAAAACCAAACAGGATGGAAAAGTGCCAGTTTAAATGTGGCACTTACTACACACAAACTAACAACTGGTTGTAACACATTGTAATAAATGGGCACATATGTAAGCAGAATTAATCAGGAACAACAATATCACAGATTGTTAAAAGTTCCATGTTAGCACAGTTAATATCCATGCTGTACACATGTCAAAACCCTGTTTAAGGCTTTCTATAAAATGGAAAAACACTTCATGGAAATGCAGTCTTTAATATTTTTCCAGATGGGTGTGATAGAACATGACAGGGAAAATGCCGAGGAAGTGAATTTTCTCTTAGTTTAGAATTATATTTTAAAAGATATTCCAACTGCGCACCCTTTCCCTTTCCTTGCCGGCATCAATGGGTTTGACTCGGTTCGAAACAATTTTATTTAACAAAAAAGTATTAAAAACCATGGCTGACCTTTTACTCAAAGGATCTGACAAACTAAACTACAAAATGTGCTACACTGAGCTAAACTGTAACCCTGTTTTCGGAATCAGCATAATTAGCCTGATCAGGAAGAGGGTGTTTTTTTAATAACAAATAAGATGTGCATATCCAGTGCATTCAATATATAAATTTGGATTTGTGTAATGAGGAGTTCTTAAAAAATAAGCAATTCCCTAAACATTCTCTTAATATTTCTTTATTTTTTAGAATTTTACAGAATAAACAATAATTGCTTGCTAACCATTTAAATTCATTGTGGAAGGGCAAAAAAACCACAAACCTTTGAAAACAGTCACACTTGTTACCAATCCTTACTATCCAGTGTACTTCTTCGGGATCAAAATTAAAACATAAGTGAAAACTACTGTATATGGAACTGCATTCAATATTGAGAACATCTTTACCTAAAGAGTTGTGGAATGTGGAACACGTATCCAGCCAACTTGTAAACAGGAATGGATTCCAAATAAATGATTAATAATCAAAATGAAACTAGTTGGGCTGAACTCGTTTGTAACCAATGTTCTTTGAGACACAATTAGCAAACCAATTCTATTGCAAGTCCTTCAAATCCCCCACTATAAGCCCACAAAAGGCCACTTTGTTAAAAACTAGGTCACCATTACAATTTTATAATTAAACATTCAGACAAGCATGCATCCTTATCAGTATGTAACTTTATGCCGATAAGATTACGAGGTTGATGTGAGCCCTTGAAATGAAGCAATGAAGGGATATAATTCTGATCATTTCTAATTATAAAACTGTCATTTATTTACTGTAAAAAAGACCTTACAATACATACTAAATACACTTCAATAAAGACAAATATGAACATTGCCCATTTCATCATTCACAGACAGAAAAATACAGTTAAAGCCCTGCTATATTGTACATCTTAAAGCTTAATGACAGTGTCATCTGATAACACCAGTTACTAATCTTAGAAGTAATAATTACTATTTTAATCACAAAAATAATTACAAAAACATGTGGTTAAGAAAATGACACCATCAACTAAGTCATTATGACCTATTATTATAATAGCTAGTATTTCTGTTTTGTTCAGCTGTTTCCTTCATAATAGTGAAATTAAAATCTTAACTTCATAACTGATCAATAAAATACAACAGAGTTTCTCCCTTAACACACTCTGTCTCTAAAGATTTTCTTTGAATTTGCATAGTTGAGTAATATTAGGTAAAAGAAAAAAATAAACAGAGAAATTTGTATTTTTTTATTTACCCTCTAGGGGACAGTGATGCTCAAAGAACTGGCCATCTTTCAGCTCTCCACTTTGTAACTCCTGCAGAGAGAGAGAGGGTGTAAGTGAATCTACAGGACTTCAACCACAGACACAATGAAAACAAACATTTCAGGCATAAGCATTTCCTACACCGAAAGGTCTGAGATGTGAGAACTGGGAATGAGTCCCACTAAACTCTTTGAACATCTGCATGGTTATTGTGTTTCACTGTCTGGGTCAGAAGATTGCAACTGCAGCCAAATCTTTAAAGCCTGGTCCAAGTTTTAGAAATCTTTTATATCCAAAGAGCCATATGTACTCTATCTTCATCCTCCTTGAAAACTGTTCACCGCATTTGGCTTTAGCTATTCATACTTCACAGGGGAAAGAGCTGTGTTTTTCTGAGAGAAAAAGGCCTGTTGTGTAACATCTTTTCAACACAAGACAAACTGACTTGACACAGTGCATGATTTATCAACTTGAAAAAGTACAATTATGGTTTTATTTGCCAAAGTGTAATGAGGTTTGATGATTCCAATGTTATAATACATCAGTGACAGTCTGATTAATAGCATTATAATTGGTCAAAATGTAGATCATGAATCAAATACAAAAACAACTAAATTTAAGTTTTAAACAAAGCTTTATGTTTATAAAAGACTGAAGCCAGTGTGTGTGAAATGGGACTGTGCTGAGTCTATGACCACTATGATATGATGCACTGTCTATCTCTGCAAGCAACCCTTTCTAATGGGCAAAATCTAACCTGCAAGTAACTGAATTGCAATTCCTTGAAAAAGGATTCCTCAAAAGGGATCTATTCAGCATTACAAACCTGAAATGTCACTTTTGTATTTTGACCTTTGATACAGGAAATGGATTTCACAGTTACAAAATACAGCATTCTGTGTCCTACAAAGGCAGCAATGGGTTTATAAATCTGCACACTTTAAATTAAATCTACATTCACTCCATTGGTATTGGCTGTGGTAAATCATCACAGCTTATTAAGAAAAACAGCAGAATGAACTGAAAATATTGAAATGATATTGTACAATTGTATAAAAACAATTTAAATACATAGGGGCTACTTAAAATACAGTGCAGTTCATAATTGTTTCCCCTTTTTTCCAGCATGTAGTTGTAATACAATGTTTTCCAGGCAGAAATCATTGAAATTCTAATGATAAAAATAAAGTTTATTTACTATAATTACATTTTACAATACATAAATGCATTTCAATAAAGGCAAAAACGAACATCTGCCTGCTTCATCAGTCGAAAACAAAATACACTCCTATACATCTTAAAAGCTTAATGACAGTGTTAAGTCTGATAGCACCAGTTACCAATCTTAGAAGTGATAATTACTTTCTGCTTTGGAGGAATTTCAGTTGAAACCTAACCCTATAATCTCCCTTAACCATCTTGAGTAGGAGCTCATGTGCCAGTGGCCAGGCTGGGGCACAATGGAATTCAACCTGGGAAGCAGCCAGGAGCCTGCAGGCAGCAACATGGACTAAAGGTTAGGACTTGTATCCGGAAGGCTGTGGGTTCAAGTCCCGGATGGGCACTGCTATTGCACATTACTGCAATAAACAGTCAAATGGATACCAATGTAAGTGGCTCTGGATAAAAGCATCAGTGAAACACAGAGACATAACCTCATTTGAGCAAAGTCTGTTTTCTTTGATTACCTCCTCCCCCACCATGGTGAGACTCCATCATGTCATACAATTATCTGCCTTCAGAGGCCAGTGAAAAGTCCAGCTCTCCCTAAAACAGAGGTAAATGGCTTGTCTCCGAGCCTCCAAAAAACAGCTGCCATTAATCAAGGACCCCAGCAGGAGATCTCCCTGCAACTTTTTTTTTCTAGAGCAAGTTAAACACTAGACCCCTTTTCATTCAAGCCCTCTCTAATTACGCAAGTCGACTGGAAGGAAGGAGGTGGTGTTAGGGTGGAAACTAGATTATAATCTGGGGTAAACGGTTTAGTTTTTGGTTTCAAATTAAGAAATTAAAAAGACATTAAAACAAATAAAAATACACTCAATGCCAACTGATTTGTTTCGAAGCTAGTTTCAAATTTTATATTTCTCTTATATTTGAAAGGATAAAAAATACACCACGTTTACATTTTACAGAAGATGTCTTTAGTTCATGTTTATTTGCTAGTTCACTGTACTGATTCTGCCAGGGTATCCCAGATGTGTGTCTCATATCACTGCTTGCTTGGTTTTTCAATGGCAAGGATTTTGAATAGAGAAAATTACTCTCTCAAAGTGAAAACAAAACTTCAAAAGGCAAAAATATCTGGTGTTCCCCTAGTATCAGTCCTTGGGCCAAGCACCGTCCAAAGTTTACAGCCTTTAAAATCAGGATCACATCCACAACCTTTTGCACAACAGTTACACTAAGGGGAAAGATGAGTCAACACAAACTTATAGACGACAATAGTAGTGTGGCTATTTTCTACTTCTTTAAAAATGCGTCTTTGGGTAGAACTGATAAAGTACTTGAGCATGGAATCGATAAAAGGGCTCATAATATATCCCTATTGGCCCAAATAGCTCATCTAACTGCTAGTAACTCAATGATGTGAAGATGTAATTTATCCATTTTTTTTAAAGAAGCCCTGCATTGGCTTCAACACCATGGTTGGCAAGATTGTTTCATACCATCACAACCCCTTACCTTACTATTACCCAGGGAGCAGATGGATCAGATTTACGACTGAAACACCCATTGTACAAAATCAGAACTTGAAATGTCATAATCATGAGAAAATTACATTGCTGTTAAATTTAACATATGAACAGCTCTTCACAAATGAATCTTGCTTGATGAAAACATTGCTTATAACAACGTGATCATAAAGTGAAAAGTGTCCAGAACAGGTTAATGAGAAAGAGAAAGTCCTATTTTTAATACTGTATGCTTCCAGCATTTAACTCAGATTTTACTGTAAAATTAATTGCATCAAGTCATGTGTCATTTATACTGAGAAGCATTAAAAAACAAAACAAATAAGCACTGGAACCAAAAGTATTTATTGTGTTCTTAATGTGCCTCAGTATACAATTAAATAATATTGCCCACTGGGTTGTTGTGAAGCACAAATGTGCAAGCCATATGTTTAACCGAGAACAGCTATAAACCTGAGGGTACGAGGGTTTCCATCTCATTAACAGTGAAGCACTGTTGGTTGTGATGATGCCATTGTACACTGAACAGAGCATATGGCACTCAACAATAAGATGTACTTTTATTTTTAAGCTCTCAAAGTGCAAATGCAACCATGGTCTTTATAACAGAAAAAAAGCAGATTGATAGAGCTCAAATAATATGTTACCAAACCAGTTATACTGTACAATCACAGATATAGAAAAGTTTATAATTTCAGGTTAGACCTAAAACATTAGCATATTCATCATTCTTACTTTCCTAGTTCTAAAATCAATAAAACTAAATAGCACAGGGTGCACAACAGCTGATGGCTTACAAACTCAGGAAAACTGAACTAAAATGTTTTGATCTTTAGAAAAATATGAAGTAGATTAAGTTATTTAGGAAGCCAGACTGCCCATTAGTAAAACTGATACACTTTCTGTTATATTCATAATAATGTAGTAAATTGCTCGTTTGTTTTTGTTTATATGTATACTTCCCCAATAAAAACTAATATACTGTATAAAAAATGGATTTTTTTAAATTAGAGCAAAACCCATAAATTTAAATCCATAGTTGTCCTGTCAGTTTTTTTTTAATTATATTTTTCTGGTCAAACAATTCAACTAGCAAACACCATTCGTAGGCTACTAATATTCATATATTCTTATGGCCAGGTTGCTCTTATATAACTTTAAATTTACTGTTGGAAGACAAGTCAAATGGAGAAGATCATGCATTCATGCTGATTTTATTGACGAGTGTTATAAGACCAACCTAAATCTATATTTTATGGGATATTATCTTCCTTTTTCTTTATGCTTTCGCAACCCAGATGTTTTGGATGGTACTAATCACAACTCCTGATATGAGTATTATAAAACTTACAAAAGTTATATTAAAATATTGACTTTGAAATTAATCTGTACAATTAAGCATATTTTCACATGCCTTGTCAGTTATACTTAAAGCCTCAAATAAACCATAACATTATGTATTTTATTCTCTTTCGACTGCATCAGTGCATGGTTTTAAAGTTTGAATTTTTGGGGGGTTCTTATTTTTCCCATCCAAAGAGAGCAGTGAAACTTGTTTTATTGCTAAATGACCTAGATTAGCAATATTGCACATATACTGCAAAGCGGGAGATTTGGTTATCTATGCACTGTCTCACATTGAAAAATGTTTAGCAGACATCGAGGGCTGACAAAGGCTTCCTCTTGTCAAAATGTGTTCTAAAAAGAGCTGTGGCAGTGTGACTCAATAACTATATTGTTTTGGCTTCATCGGTCACTACATTCACTTAAAACTATGCAAATGGAATCCACACGAAGTTGTGCTAAAAATCTATTTTTCATTCTCAGGTTGTGTGAACAATGAGGTTCTTGAATACAGTCAGCCTACAACAACAGAAAACACATCCAATTGTTTTATACACACCCATTGCACCCTCTGCGGTTATCAAATTGCATGGTATTCAGATTAGACTAAGGAAAGCCAGAGCTGGAGTTCAACGCAGAAGTTTATATTTCCAGATCTGTAGCAACAAGCCTGAGAAAGCACAAAAAAGGTGAAGAACTGTATTGTACAACTGATACATGCATCAGACACCATGCAAACAGTGACAGACGCTTGGAAAACAAAGTACAGAAGGAGCTGGCTGGTTGTTCTTATGTTATGCAGCATCATTGCCAAGCATCCTTCAGCCCAGCCTTTTGACAGTCTTTCAAGTAGGATTGAGTTACTGAGCGAAGCTTTCATTGCTAAAAACCAGGTGACACCAGGCAGCTCTCTAGCCTGCCTCGACCTCCCAGTCTTCATCATTTAAGAACACTACAGATCTTTGTTTCTACATTTCCTGTCACACAACACCAGGCATGGCTTATCAATCC